AAAGATCAATATATTGAGTTGATCCTTTATACTTTAAAAATTTTATGTCAAGATTAACATAACCTAAATTATTCCCGACGTCGCTATCACTGTTACTATTACTGTTATTGCTATTGTTAAAGGTTTCTTCAAGTTTAATTCTTAACATATTATTATTATTATTATTAATATCATTACTGATATTACTAGGATTGTAATCACTATGGCTATTTTTATTAATTAAAAGTAAGTCATATTTAGTCAAGCTTGTCGTAAGATCCAAGAAGAAAAGAATAATTATTACTATGATCGAAATGCGAGGAAAAAGTTTATAATAAAAAAATATTCCAACTTAAACTGCTAGTTATGTGGAATAATAATAATGAGATAGGTTTTGGTAAGGTCACTACTACTGTATTCTACAAGTTGTTTCTTTGAAAAAAAAGTGATTTTTTTTTTGCTTTCAGTTTATCACGTTTACATCCAAGAAGAAAAGAATAATTATTACTATGATCGAAATGACTTCTCGTGTCTTCTTCGCCCATTTATAACCATCTCTACACTCACTATTTTCATCATTATTTTCACTAACATCGTCGTCATAATCATCGTCATCGTCGTCATAATCATCGTCATCGTCGTCGTAATAATTATCGCCATCATCGTCATCATCGTCGTCGTCATCGTCGTCATCATCGTCATCATCACTGTGATCATTATTTGTTATTACGTTCCTAAATTCGTGATTCATTTTGAATTTGAATGCATGATTTTTCAATATTAGAACATCATTGTAAACAAGGTTAGGATCAAAAAATGAAAATTCGTTGGCTGTTATTATTTGATTTCTTTTGCTAGCTTGCCAATTAAAACAATTGATTTGATAGTTTTCTAAAATTCGGAAAAGTTGTATTGCTGATCTTTTGTTGTAATTATTATTATCGCTTGGCTCTTGATCACAAAGACCAATGATTACTGGAAATAAATTTATATGATTTTGTAGTTCTTTCATTGTTTCGACAAGTAAATTTGAAAGTCGTGGTGAGTTTGGTGATATTAAGATCACGCACAAGTCAATCCAATTTTGGACGTTGTCGTTGTTTTTTTGATGATTATTGTTATTGATGTTTTTTTTAACATTATTGTCGTTGTTTTTAATATCTCCGCCGTCATCATCGCCGTCACCATATTTGTTGGAAGTAGTAATGTCAACTTTTAAATAATTCTTTAACAAGCAATCTTTAGCATCATTCAACGATTTATCAGTAAGATCTATTTCATAAATTGTTGATCCACTATCATCAATTAAAACATATTCATAAATAAAATGACTATAATTTGCTCCATATTTAGTAGATTTCAATTTAAAGCTTTTTCTTTCACTGAAAGCAGTTTGGTTAGGTCTATAATTATGACCGTGATCAGAAATACTTTTACATATTTTATTCAAGATTTCAAATTTACAGGATATTGTCATCGTTGATTTTTCACCATCACAATCATCATCATCACCGTTAATATAAGCGACGCGGAAATAAATTGGCAATGAAAGCGGTTTTGATGTTGAAGTTTGTTTTTGGTAATATATGTTATTCGTCATCTCAATATCGCTGTTAGCATCATCACCTCTTGTAAAACTTTTAAAAATTTCTTCTAAAAAATAAAAGGATTAAATAATAATAATAACAATAGTAATAATAATAAGAAAGACCATGTGAAATTTATAATTATAAAAATATATGTATATGTATCATTTTTTTCTCTTACCAGGTGAGATATTATGATTTTCAAAAGAAGTGTAAGAGTTGCTTAAAATTTTGTTTTCGAGAATCATTTTATTTTGTAAAAGATGTTATTATCAATGGAAACTATATTTTTTTAATAAGGTATATTTTTCGAAAAAAAATTTTTTTTAAGAGAAGAAAAAGAAAAAATTAGATATTCGTCAGATAACAAAAACGTCACTCTAATTGAAACGTCACTTATTTGACATCACTTTTAGTTAAATTACACAAATCAAAATTGTAATATCAATCTAAAAGGTAAAAAAGTGTGGGCAAAAAAAATATTCAGTCAAAATGTCGTTTTAATTGAATCTTCTACTAGTACTAGAAATACATGTGTCAATCAAAAGCTTTTTTTTACTATCTTTTCTTTTTTAAATAGAAATTCACATTAATAAATTCGACATTTGAACCTGTTGTTGTGTTATTATTATTATTTCATCTTAAATTTTATAGAAAATTATATGAATGATGCGATCTTCTACTTTTCGGATTCATTAAATTAAAATTATTTCAAATAAAATTTTATTTTATTTTTTGAATAACAATAATAATAATAATCACTGATGCATTTTCGAAACCCAAATTTGGCATTGACTATGTCGATCTGACACTAATCAGTAGTAGTAGGTGTAACGAAATTAAGATTAAATTGATCAATACAATTTTATGTTATAGACAACCTAACACCTGAAAATGGGACAAGAATTAGAAGGCTTTTTTTATCTTGTCATAAAAAATCGTCAATATTTGGCTAAACAGCAATAAAAGTAGAAAAGGAAATATGCAAAGGTCGATATAGTTGGTTGTATCACGATTCAATAAATAACTTGTTCTCCAAGTAAATCATATAAATTGATATAATGAAAACATGATTTTATTTGATTATTTTTGCCTCCTTATGAATGAATTAGTTTGTTTTAAAAAAAAATTATTAATTAGAAAAAAAAAACGGGATTTAATTTTTATTACTTAAAAAGTTGTTTTATCTGTGCATTTGTTAAATGTTCATGGCCGTCTTCATACCAAGATTCTAAAATTGTTAATTAATTACAATTAGATTGGGATTTCGATTAATTATAATTATATATGAAATTGATATATTGATACATTACCAACTGAACCAACAATTTGTGGTGCTTTAACGGCAACAACATCATCAACTTTTTTCATAAACCTTTTCTGATTTATTAAAAATAAAATCAATAAATCAATAAATCAATAAATCAATAAATCAATAATAACAAATTAAAAATGAACAACAAACAAAAAAGCAAAAAGTAAAGTACCTGAGCATCAGAACCAATCACACCACCAGATAAAATAATCTTACCATTATAACCTAGACTTTTTAAAATTGAAATGGTGTTACGAGCATCTTGACCAGTTTTAATACCATCAGTTACTAAAATGATATTTGCATTTTCAGATTTTGGTAAAGGTAAATTTGGTGGATTGCATTCTTGATGTAAAATTTGAAGTTGAGCACGCTATATATATATTTTTAAGAAACTATCAACAAAGTTGATAATAACCAACAAGTAATCAACCATACTATTAATTAATTATGATGTTTACCTGCTCTGCAATTTTGGAATCTATTAATTCTTGTGAAATATCACAACCTCTAAAAAAATTATTTTATTGTATTTAGTTTGTTTTATTTTATTAATTGTTTGTTTATTAATTAATTAATTTAATTAATTACTGAATAATTTGATCCTTTAATAGAGGCTTGTCTGTTCTGTCAGTTATAGCTCCAATTGTCATTCCATCCATTATCAAAGAACGAATTAAAAATAAATCTAATGGTACATTTAATTCTTTTGCTATTTCGTGAGCTATAATTGTTGCTGAAGGTTTAATAGCGAGAACAACTAAAAAATATATATATATTAATATATATATATATATATATATATATAATTTGAGAATATGTGAATATAATATATATAATAATTAATTTACTTGTATCTGGTGCATTATGGTAATGTTTCAAAAATCTAGCCAACAATTTTCCAACTTCTTTTCTTGATTCGAATCTATGTTGATAGACAGGATTATGAGTAATATTATTATTTGATGAATTTATTGTAAGTGGTGGTAATGGTAAATTTTGTTCTGAAAGCATTTTTTATTTGTTTAATACAATTATAATTTATTAATTGGCAAAAATGAAGTTTGGGAATTTTTTTAAAAAAGTTAAAATACAAAAAAAAAAATCAAGTTGTTTAAATACAGAAAAAAGATTAATTAACCTTATTTCGTAATAATTATGACGATGATGATATAAATTTTACCCACGAATGTTCACCCAAAATAGAAATGAGATTAGATTATGCAGGGTGATTTTTGATAAGATTGAAGGATTACATAATAAAACAATTAAATAATAAACTATTATTATAATCACAAGAATTGCTTGTCAAATAATACTATTTTCTTTTTTTCATTACAATTCTTTCCATAAGGTTATTATAATTTAGGCGAAATCGGTGTGTTAAATATGAACGAACAATGGTTATTATCATCCTCAATTACCAAAATAATTGACTAGCCAGCAAGTTATAAAATGCTATATAGTTTTTCCAAATAGTAAGTGCTCATGTCGCAATCCAAAAAAGGAAACAAAGTGGCAAAGGTGTGTTGCAATCATTTTTATATGATGCAAAGGTGGCTGCAACTATCATCAAAAAGCTGCAGCTGGTATCATCTTTATTTTCAATCTATTGTTAATAGGATTTGGAGAGATTTCCTACCCTCAATTTTTTCCTTGTTATATTTATATATTATTGCCGATTTTACTATTTATGGAATGACTAGAAAATATCACATGACCAATCAATTTTTTTAATGGAAAAATTTTCTCAAAATTGGCGAAGTGGCATAGAAAGTTATGGGACTAGGTGACTTGCGCTGTGCGTACCCGATTCATATGTAAGGAGGGCTTCTGCTGGGAAATGTGATCGGGATTAAGCAATGTTAGCCTAAATTGCCTCCCTTACATTAATATTAATAAATGATTGTTGCCGAATCCGAAATGCCGAAATAGTTTTTCATAGCTGATTATGATGGTTTGCCGAAAATTATATCTGAAATTTTTTGAACACTTTAACTCAATAGCCGAGGTTTTTTTATATCTATTGCAGTCCAGTATTTTACCAAATTTGGAATTTCTAAATATTGTAATCTAATTTTCCGTGTGACACTGGAAAATATGATTTGCTAACTTTTATGCGTTGAAAAATATGAAAAACCTGGCGAGGGCCTTATAACTTCCAAAATTATACAATATGTGGATTTAACTTATATACAAGGTCGCACAGGATTAAGCAACTTCGAGGATTTTATTTTTCAATCAATATTGTTATGATGTATAATATATCAATAGTTCAACTTATAATAATTTTTCCCAAACTATTTTTATTAATACCATAAATCTCGAAAGATAACACCCTCGAAAGATAGTAAAGATAGTACCCTCTACTTTAAAACAATTGAAAATCATTTGTTACACAGTTGTAAAAAGGAGGTGCTATCTTACAATAACTGAAATGGGCAAAATTATTTTTAAATTATTTGTTTATTCTTATAAAAAATATTGATAAGCCCAAACTATTGTGAAAGCTACTTTTTTGCAAAAATAGTCTGGACCAGAAATTTTAGTTAAACTAATAATAATAATATTTTATAATAAAATGTGAAATCAGATGAATCTAAATATCTAAATTCATTTTTTTTGGAATATATAAATATGATAGTTTACAATAAAAATAGTTAATGTTGATGTTGAGTTTTAAAATTATAATTAACACACATAAGAGACGACACGAAACTCGTAACACTGTTTCTTTCCTTATTTGGAATTTATGCGCATGACTTTGGTTTTTAAATAAATGCCTATAGCGATCATCACAGAATAACTAAACAAGAAATAAACTGGTCTAATTTATCAAATTAAAATGATATATCAATTAGCAATATAGCGGGCTTTATCTGTGATTTGTAATAAAGCAGTGGTACAAGAATGAAGACATTGTATAGAGAGTAGTCAAGTTGTAGGAGGGAACTAAACATACGAACGAGCAGTACGGACTAATATTGAGACAAGAAAAAATCAAATTTTATTAAACAGAATTTTTTGAGAAGCGTGAGATAAAAAAACAAGGTGTTTAATTTTTTTTTTTCCACTAAGTTATCTGAAATGATCGACGTTGTTGTGTTTTTTAATTTTTACTTTTTTATTATCATCGTTTATTCAATAGATAGATGGTGACAAAAATGAGGATTCAAAAAAAAGAAAAGTTGTACATTTCGATTAATTTTTTTATAACGTGATGATAAAATTCTTCAAAACCAATTTCAACTTTATTAATCTCTTCTAAATAATGAATTATAAACAACATTATGTAAAAAAAAAAGTACAGTGCAAGTCACTTAGTCCCACAACTTTCTGTGCCACACCGCCAATTTTTGAGAAATCAAAAATGCAAAAATTTTACAGTCACATGATTGTCGAAGATCGTCAAGTGTTAAATATATAAATTTTTCTTTTACATTTATTCCTATATACATATGTAAATGATTAGAACAATAAACAACAATAATGATTATAGTGATGTTATTAAATATAAGTTAAAATAAAAGATAAATTTATATAAACAATTGAATGATTGATAAAACCTTCATTAGTATATTTTGTTCATAGGTCTTGTCCTTAAAGCTTACTTCGATTACTCCTACACAAACTATTATAATTGATAACGTTTGTTAGAATATTTTGCAAACTTCATAGATCTTGTCCTTAAAACTTGTGCAAACTATTGAATAATTGATAAAACGTTCGTTAGAATATCTTGCAAGCTTCATAGATCTTGCTTGTCTTTAAAACTTACTTTGATTATTCCTACATAAACTATTGAAATAAAACGTTCGTTAGAATATTTTGCAAACTTCATAGATCTTGTCCTTAACATTTGTACAACTATTGAATAATTGATAAAACGTCTGTTAGAATATTTTGTAACCTTCATAGATCTTGTCCTTAACACTTGCACAAACTATTGAATAATTGATAAAAGGTTCGTTAGAATATTTTGAAAGCTTCATAAATCTTGTCCTTAAAGCTTACTTATACAAACTATTGAATATTCAATAAAACGTACGTTAGAATATTTCTGTTCATAGATCTTGTCCTTAAAACTTACCTTGATTACTCTTACATAAACTATTGAATAATTTAATAAAACGTTCGTTAGAATATTTTGTTCATAGATATTGTCCTTAAAACTTGTACAAACTATTGAATAATTGATAAAACGTTCGTTAGAATATTTTGTAAGCTTCATAGATCTTGTCCTTAACACTTGCATAATGTATTCCTTCAGCTAAACTTACACCGAATACACCTCGATGATCTTATTTTAAATAATTATAAAGATTTATAGTTAAAATTTTGGGAAAAAAAAATGGATACATGAATACGGTTTTAATTTTAAACTTTTTTTTTTTGATATAAAAAAAATATATTCTTACCATTTTCTTTGCCCTCATCTTCTCTTTTTCCTTTTTTTGCAGTGAATTGTTTCCACCAAGATTTTAAGTTTTCTTTTGTTGCTGTAGACGGCAATTCTGAAGGATTTTGATGCGGCATTTTTTTATTTTTTAAAAACTTGATATTTACTTAATATAGTTATACTTATATATTAATATTTATATAAATATATACACCGGTATAATGTTTTTTTGTTGATATTTTTTGCTGATAATTTTAAAAAGTTGTAAAATGAGTAATTGTAAAAAAAAAATTAAAAATGTTTGTAATTATAGAAATATTAAATATGAAATATATCACATAACTATTATTTGGTACACAATATAAAGAGAGAAAAGGTGGCTTACCGTTTGTAACGACTTGTGACCTTAACTTGCAATTTTTTCACTGAAATGATCCAAATTAAGTTAATAAAAATTGTAATTGAAAGTTTATTTATATTTATATTAATTGGTTTATTTATATTTTTAAAAGTTACATGATAAATTATTATTATTATTAATTAAAAAAGAAATTAATCTTTGTATTATTATATGTGTTATGTATTTTTACTATATATACTAACTTGCCATAACAATACATATAGCCTATATTATTTTAACTCTAATCGAATTCTAAATAAAGATTTCTTGATCGAACTTAATTTAACATCAATCGATTTTTTCTTCTTACAAGCATTAGTTATCAATATTTACTTTTTTATTATATTTCCCTTCTTCTTTTCCTCCTTGTCCCCATCTTCAATTTTTCGATCTTCTCAATCACCCTCACCATATTCTTCTTCTGATGATGATAATAATAATAAACAATATAGCGATTGTATATTAAGAAAAAATTATTATTATTATTAATATTAATAATCGATAATCTTAATTAATATTATTACTATTTTTAGAAATAATTATAATAATGACATCCCCAGACTATTGTTTTGCATCAAAAACTTGTTTCATTACAATTAAGAATTTTATACCAAATTTATACATTAATAATTTTTCTATATTATGTATCATTATTATCATGTTAAGATGTTAAGGGAAAAATAGCCTTTTTAGTGCTTTCACGACGACGCTACTAAATAACTCAACATATATACGTAAAAGTGATGATTTAAAAAATTTGTCTAAACCATACACATATAAACTTAAAATAAAAGATTTAAATTTTCTTTGTATTATTATCTTCTTCATCTTTCAAAAAATAACTTTTCCAGTTATAATTTAAAAATCTAATGTTTTAATTAATATTAATATATCTTCGTAACATATTCTTTTGAAAATTTAGGATTGCTGGTTCGGTTCAGGTTCGGTTCCAAAGACCGATCTTTTTTTTTCAGAGAACCGAAAGACTGATATTTTGGGTGGCAACTGTTAAAAGACTGGAAATGTCGATATCTCTTGATTTTATTATATTAATATTTATTAATATTTTGTTACATTGTATTTCAACGTCGTCTACGTAAACCTTTGTAGGTTCCAAAATTGAGCAGCATTATGCGGGAGTGTTACCAGAATTACTAAAATTTCGGCATAATGTTGGTCAATTTTGAAGACTTATTTTCTGTACGTACTTTGACAATAACTTTTCTCAAATAAAAGAAGTTTCGATTTGAGAAATAATCAAATCATATCCAAAACTATTTGCTATTAAAGTTGGCACCCGTAAAAATTTACGGTATTACAGTGTTGCAACTCGTGTTGAAAGTCAGAATTTACGGTGTGCAACTAACCGCAATGTTGAAATATTTGTTATAAATATTTATTATTATATAATTGTTGTGAATACAAAATTCTGATTGGCAATTTGAATTCCACGCGCGTGAATTTCAAATTCATAATGTTACATTCAAATAAAAAGTAGATCATGATCCTTACTTTCCTAATTATATCTCCCATGAGTTTTATGCATTTTATATTTTTCTTATAATTAAAGATGAATTTTGCTACTGATAACAAAAACAAACTTGGGAATATTTTACACGTGGTAACCATCTTGTGATGGATGCCCGACCGTATCGAATGTTTTTAAAAGTGAGACAATATAAATAGAAAATTGGTCCAACTGCATTGTGATTATGTTGCAACATTATGTATAGTTTTTATGTAATATGTAAATTTGTGGTATGTTGCAACATTTTATTACTTGTTTGCTATTAAATACTTTATTCAGTTTGATTCTTACAACCTGACAATTAAATTCGCACTCCCTAAAAATCAATCGGCGACATAATAAAAATAATCTTTGATGTTACATGAAGACCGGTTTTTGGAAATATTCTCCTTGCCAAAATTACAGTACAAAAAAAGATAATGGATTGTTATTAAACTTACTGTTAAAATGATAACTTCAAATACATTTGGAAATATATTTTCCTTTCAAATAAAACAACCGAAATATTCAATTAAAAGAATCATCTGCTTTAAGATATCATCCCCATTTCTTTTGAGGCGATAATTCATTTGAAGGGCGCATATTCTTTCAATACTGATTTCTAAAGCATCATTACTGAGCTTGAATCTTTTTACAAAATATCATCTTTCTCCACGACTTTTCTTTTCTTTATAACATTTAGAATAACTCTAAATATCTGGAAGTTGAGATCAATTATCAAAATTGCCATCGTTACAAATGTTTGATAGTGGAAGATAAATAAGACCCAAGTATTTAGTTTTATAGAGTTGGTCAAATGCTAGTATCAGAAGCAGTGTTTGATATTGTTGTTATTTCTAATAAAACTTACCGTTTAAGCTTTTGAAATTTCGTGATCCCTCATCGTAGATTGTTCCCTTTAGACAGCTGCTACCTACCATTAAAGTATACATAAATTATATTATGCGATTCTCACTCAACGAATTATTTTCTCGTAAAAATTTTCATTAGTATTTAGACCACTAATTGCTAATATATGCAATAGTTATTGGCTACAAAATTTACTATTTAACAAACTTGTCGTTAATATAATGCCACAAATTTATTATTATATCTTTTGAATCTAGTCGCATGTGCGTGTCATTTAATCTTCGTGATGTTTACTATGCTGATTAAGGTGAAAACCTAAAGTAAATAGTGAACGGAATTTGTTGTTCGCAATAATTTGTTTCATCCTATTAAAGAAAAAAAAATAATTGATAGTTTTGATGATAAATAATAATAATGATAATGATAATAATTTTCGAACATTATATAAGGTCACCTTGTAATTCACAATAAAATATAGAAATAGTGGACTCAATTAAAGGTACAATCAACCCCCCCCAAATGCACACCCTCTCTAAATGCACACTCTCGCTAATTCCCAAGCTCGGGACTTAAGAGATAAGTGCACCTGCACTTTTTTCATTCTCAATTATATATATAAAACCACCCTCCCAAAATGCACGCCATGACATTCACGTGATATGTGCAATGAAAATCATAAGTTACTATTTTGTACAAACCATCTATCCTCAGAAAGTTCAAGTTTGTATTTTTATACAATACATTCATTTTTACAATACATTCATTGATCTTTGTTACAAGGAATACATTCTTTATTTGTATTCTTATTTGATCTTTTTTTGTTTTCCTTTACAAGACATCTGCAACTGCTCATTCCGCCATACTTTATTTTATATCTTCTATTCAACAAATATTAAATTGTTTCTTTATAATACTCTTTAAAGGTCTCAAATGGTAATTATAATTAATTAAATAAAATAATTTCTATTATTAACTCACAGTTATTATTTTCTTTGAAGTAAATGGTTATTTTATTTTCGGAGTGTTAAATTTTTGTTTAAAAAAAATTCATATGCAAAATTAAATTTTCTTTAAAAAAAATTCATACACGAAATTAAATCAATAATAATACCTGCTGTATCTAACCATTTTAATTTTTTGCATTCACACTTTTCTCATTAAAATATTTTGTTCTTTATTGCTTTTAAAATAAAATGCCTCTAAAAAATAAAGTAACTTTATCTGATTCTCAAAGGCATGAATTTTGTTTAGTTGATTCTCTTGAAAAAATTTATTAATTTAAAAAAATAAATACAATAAAACAATTTACAATAGATAGATTCATGTCTTGAATTTTCTTTCTTTCTTCTAATGATAAGTAATAAATTGAAAAATTTTCTGATTTGTGTCATGTTAGTCACGTGCAGCCAATAAAATGCTTTAATTCCCTAAATGCACGCTCTCACTCATTCCAAAAGAGGGTTGACTATATATTGATATTGGTATTACTATTGCTACTATTATCTATCGTCACTGTTTATTTTTTTCAGAAGAAGTTGCAGCTCGCATTTATTTTTATAAATTGTAATTATCTCAAGTAATTGATAGGAGTCATTATTTCTAGTATCTTGGGTTTAAGCACGACAGGGGTTTTAAAGTTTATGATGCCAATCATCTAAAGACATAAAAATGTAATTCCGATAAAAGAATCAAAATTTTGTTTTTTATAACTAAGGAACGACCTGACAGAATGTTTTTTAATAGAAAAAATGCTTGATTTAAAGTTGGCCAATTTTAAAAAATTTTACGTGAAAATAAAAATTGATTTTGATTCAGAACACTCCGGGATCCTGCACTAAAAAAATATACCACCATAATCAATTGACCTGTAATGCTTATAATAACAATGCTATAAAAATAAAAAAAAGGACGAAATTTATGTACAAAGAATAAGTGCATGGAGAATTGGTTTTTGTGATTGACATCAATTTGATACGTCATATCATTACCAACAGGAGAGACCGTTCTGGAAACACAAAATTTTAACCCACGCAATTGTTGATCGATCAATCAAAATCGTGAATTTGATGACGTAAAAATAAACGTTAATATAAAACATTGATTCATTTTGTCAACAATCACTTCACCAACAGTTGTTTCGTTAACAAATGGTTCGAATTTAAGAAGTTGGAAGCAACCATTTGAAATAGTCTAATAAATTAAACCGTACTACTCGAAAATGTATTTAAAGGGTTGGTTTTCGACTTGGTTGAAGAATAACTCTCTTCCTAACTCTTCTCTTGACCATATCTCTCGATATAATCAAAATAACCTTAATATAACGAATGTCAAAATGATTGTAAACGCGACCAATTTAAGATATACGATCAAGAGGAAACATGAAAGATGTATGAGAAAATCAAACAAATTTATTTAATAAAACAAAATTTACAACTCAAAAAAATTTTTTTTTGGATGTAATAAAATTCCATTATTAAATATTAACAATCTAATTATATAGATCTTGACCGATCAAACCGCCTATATAGTTAGTTATTGATAATAATAAAACGTTAATTAAATATATTTTACAAACAGCTTCGTAGATCTCGACTTTAAGACTTACTTTGGCCAAACCCGCCTATAATAATAAACGTTCATTTTGGAAACTTGATTTGTAAATAAACCTTGACTTTAACACTTACTTCTACCAAGACCGCCTATATATTTATTTGAATAATTGATAAAGCGCTCATTAAATATATTTTACAAACAGATTCATAAATCTTGACTTTTAACGCTTATTTCGATACAAGCTATTCAATAATTGATAAACGTTCATCAGTATATTTTACAAACTTGCTTTGGAAGCTTCGTATGTCTGTTGAATTTTATTTTTTTTAGATTACACAATAAAAATTATGGAATAAATTTAATCCAATGAAATGGTTGGTATCCCATATTTTGCACAACTTGAAAAAAAGTTAATATATAAGTCATAGAATTGGTATAATAGCATCGACCAGGGAAAAGTCATGCAATGATGAAGTACCAGATAAGGTCTTCTGTGTCCGGCTCCCTTAGGTGTAATGCCTCACTTTGGATCGGCTGTAAAGTCCCGCGTGGCGGAAGGCGGAACTCACGTTGGGTGTATTGACCCTTCTATTTTTAATTTTTATTATTTATTTTATTTAGTTAAAAGGAAACATTTAAGAAATTAAAAAAGGATAAATTTTGCTAATTGATTTGATTGGTTACGTTTGTAATATACGAAGATCCATCAATCAATAATATTATCGTTTGTTGAGGATAAGATCCAGTTTGTATAGGAGTGATCGAAGTAAGCGTTAATGACAAGATGTATGAAGCTTTCAAAATATTCTAACGAACGTTTTATCAATTATTCAATAGTTTATACAAGCGTTAAGGACAAGATCTATGAAGCTTACAAAATATTCTAACGAACGTTTTATCAATTATTCAATAGTTTGTACAAGTTTTAAGGACAATATCTATGAACAAAATATTCTAACGAACGTTTTATTAAATTATTCAATAGTTTATGTAAGAGTAATCAAGGTAAGTTTTAAGGACAAGATCTATGAACAGAAATATTCTAACGTACGTTTTATTGAATATTCAATAGTTTGTATAAGTAAGCTTTAAGGACAAGATTTATGAAGCTTTCAAAATATTCTAACGAACCTTTTATCAATTATTCAATAGTTTGTGCAAGTGTTAAGGACAAGATCTATGAAGGTTACAAAATATTCTAACAGACGTTTTATCAATTATTCAATAGTTGTACAAATGTTAAGGACAAGATCTATGAAGTTTGCAAAATATTCTAACGAACGTTTTATTTCAATAGTTTATGTAGGAATAATCAAAGTAAGTTTTAAAGACAAGCAAGATCTATGAAGCTTGCAAGATATTCTAACGAACGTTTTATCAATTATTCAATAGTTTGCACAAGTTTTAAGGACAAGATCTATGAAGTTTGCAAAATATTCTAACAAACGTTATCAATTATAATAGTTTGTGTAGGAGTAATCGAAGTAAGCTTTAAGGACAAGACCTATGAACAAAATATACTAATGAAGGTTTTATCAATCATTCAATTGTTTATATAAATTTATCTTTTATTTTAACTTATATTTAATAACATCACTATAATCATTATTGTTGTTTATTGTTCTAATCATTTACATATGTATATAGGAATAAATGTAAAAGAAAAATTTATATATTTAACACTTGACGATCTTCGACAATCATGTGACTGTAAAATTTTTGCATTTTTGATTTCTCAAAAATTGGCGGTGTGGCACAGAAAGTTGTGGGACTAAGTGACTTGCACTGTACTTTTTTTTTTACATAATGTTGTTTATAATTCATTATTTAGAAGAGATTAATAAAGTTGAAATTGGTTTTGAAGAATTTTATCATCACGTTATAAAAAAATTAATCGAAATGTACAACTTTTCTTTTTTTTGAATCCTCATTTTTGTCACCATCTATCTATTGAATAAACGATGATAATAAAAAAGTAAAAATTAAAAAACACAACAACGTCGATCATTTCAGATAACTTAGTGGAAAAAAAAAAATTAAACACCTTGTTTTTTTATCTCACGCTTCTCAAAAAATTCTGTTTAATAAAATTTGATTTTTTCTTGTCTCAATATTAGTCCGTACTGCTCGTTCGTATGTTTAGTTCCCTCCTACAACTTGACTACTCTCTATACAATGTCTTCATTCTTGTACCACTGCTTTATTACAAATCACAGATAAAGCCCGCTATATTGCTAATTGATATATCATTTTAATTTGATAAATTAGACCAGTTTATTTCTTGTTTAGTTATTCTGTGATGATCGCTATAGGCATTTATTTAAAAACCAAAGTCATGCGCATAAATTCCAAATAAGGAAAGAAACAGTGTTACGAGTTTCGTGTCGTCTCTTATGTGTGTTAATTATAATTTTAAAACTCAACATCAACATTAACTATTTTTATTGTAAACTATCATATTTATATATTCCAAAAAAATGAATTTAGATATTTAGATTCATCTGATTTCACATTTTATTATAAAATATTATTATTATTAGTTTAACTAAAATTTCTGGTCCAGACTATTTTTGCAAAAAAGTAGCTTTCACAATAGTTTGGGCTTATCAATATTTTTTATAAGAATAAACAAATAATTTAAAAATAATTTTGCCCATTTCAGTTATTGTAAGATAGCACCTCCTTTTTACAACTGTGTAACAAATGATTTTCAATTGTTTTAAAGTAGAGGGTACTATCTTTACTATCTTTCGAGGGTGTTATCTTTCGAGATTTATGGTATTAATAAAAATAGTTTGGGAAAAATTATTATAAGTTGAACTATTGATATATTATACATCATAACAATATTGATTGAAAAATAAAATCCTCGAAGTTGCTTAATCCTGTGCGACCTTGTATATAAGTTAAATCCACATATTGTATAATTTTGGAAGTTATAAGGCCCTCGCCAGGTTTTTCATATTTTTCAACGCATAAAAGTTAGCAAATCATATTTTCCAGTGTCACACGGAAAATTAGATTACAATATTTAGAAATTCCAAATTTGGTAAAATACTGGACTGCAATAGATATAAAAAAACCTCGGCTATTGAGTTAAAGTGTTCAAAAAATTTCAGATATAATTTTCGGCAAACCATCATAATCAGCTATGAAAAACTATTTCGGCATTTCGGATTCGGCAACAATCATTTATTAATATTAATGTAAGGGAGGCAATTTAGGCTAACATTGCTTAATCCCGATCACATTTCCCAGCAGAAGCCCTCCTTACATATGAATCGGGTACGCACAGCGCAAGTCACCTAGTCCCATAACTTTCTATGCCACTTCGCCAATTTTGAGAAAATTTTTCCATTAAAAAAATTGATTGGTCATGTGATATTTTCTAGTCATTCCATAAATAGTAAAATCGGCAATAATATATAAATATAACAAGGAAAAAATTGAGGGTAGGAAATCTCTCCAAATCCTATTAACAATAGATTGAAAATAAAGATGATACCAGCTGCAGCTTTTTGATGATAGTTGCAGCCACCTTTGCATCATATAAAAATGATTGCAACACACCTTTGCCACTTTGTTTCCTTTTTTGGATTGCGACATGAGCACTTACTATTTGGAAAAACTATATAGCATTTTATAACTTGCTGGCTAGTCAATTATTTTGGTAATTGAGGATGATAATAACCATTGTTCGTTCATATTTAACACACCGATTTCGCCTAAATTATAATAACCTTATGGAAAGAATTGTAATGAAAAAAAGAAAATAGTATTATTTGACAAGCAATTCTTGTGATTATAATAATAGTTTATTATTTAATTGTTTTATTATGTAATCCTTCAATCTTATCAAAAATCACCCTGCATAATCTAATCTCATTTCTATTTTGGGTGAACATTCGTGGGTAAAATTTATATCATCATCGTCATAATTATTACGAAATAAGGTTAATTAATCTTTTTTCTGTATTTAAACAACTTGATTTTTTTTTTTGTATTTTAACTTTTTTAAAAAAATTCCCAAACTTCATTTTTGCCAATTAATAAATTATAATTGTATTAAACAAATAAAAAATGCTTTCAGAACAAAATTTACCATTACCACCACTTACAATAAATTCATCAAATAATAATATTACTCATAATCCTGTCTATCAACATAGATTCGAATCAAGAAAAGAAGTTGGAAAATTGTTGGCTAGATTTTTGAAACATTACCATAATGCACCAGATACAAGTAAATTAATTATTATATATATTATATTCACATATTCTCAAATTATATATATATATATATATATATATATTAATATATATATATTTTTTAGTTGTTCTCGCTATTAAACCTTCAGCAACAATTATAGCTCACGAAATAGCAAAAGAATTAAATGTACCATTAGATTTATTTTTAATTCGTTCTTTGATAATGGATGGAATGACAATTGGAGCTATAACTGACAGAACAGACAAGCCTCTATTAAAGGATCAAATTATTCAGTAATTAATTAAATTAATTAATTAATAAACAAACAATTAATAAAATAAAACAAACTAAATACAATAAAATAATTTTTTTAGAGGTTGTGATATTTCACAAGAATTAATAGATTCCAAAATTGCAGAGCAGGTAAACATCATAATTAATTAATAGTATGGTTGATTACTTGTTGGTTATTATCAACTTTGTTGATAGTTTCTTAAAAATATATATATAGCGTGCTCAACTTCAAATTTTACATCAAGAATGCAATCCACCAAATTTACCTTTACCAAAATCTGAAAATGCAAATATCATTTTAGTAACTGATGGTATTAAAACTGGTCAAGATGCTCGTAACACCATTTCAATTTTAAAAAGTCTAGGTTATAATGGTAAGATTATTTTATCTGGTGGTGTGATTGGTTCTGATGCTCAGGTACTTTACTTTTTGCTTTTTTGTTTGTTGTTCATTTTTAATTTGTTATTATTGATTTATTGATTTATTGATTTATTGATTTATTGATTTTATTTTTAATAAATCAGAAAAGGTTTATGAAAAAAGTTGATGATGTTGTTGCCGTTAAAGCACCACAAATTGTTGGTTCAGTTGGTAATGTATCAATATATCAATTTCATATATAATTATAATTAATCGAAATCCCAATCTAATTGTAATTAATTAACAATTTTAGAATCTTGGTATGAAGACGGCCATGAACATTTAACAAATGCACAGATAAAACAACTTTTTAAGTAATAAAAATTAAATCCCGTTTTTTTTTTCTAATTAATAATTTTTTTTTAAAACAAACTAATTCATTCATAAGGAGGCAAAAATAATCAAATAAAATCATGTTTTCATTATATCAATTTATATGATTTACTTGGAGAACAAGTTATTTATTGAATCGTGATACAACCAACTATATCGACCTTTGCATATTTCCTTTTCTACTTTTATTGCTGTTTAGCCAAATATTGACGATTTTTTATGACAAGATAAAAAAAGCCTTCTAATTCTTGTCCCATTTTCAGGTGTTAGGTTGTCTATAACATAAAATTGTATTGATCAATTTAATCTTAATTTCGTTACACCTACTACTACTGATTAGTGTCAGATCGACATAGTCAATGCCAAATTTGGGTTTCGAAAATGCATCAGTGATTATTATTATTATTGTTATTCAAAAAATAAAATAAAATTTTATTTGAAATAATTTTAATTTAATGAATCCGAAAAGTAGAAGATCGCATCATTCATATAATTTTCTATAAAATTTAAGATGAAATAATAATAATAACACAACAACAGGTTCAAATGTCGAATTTATTAATGTGAATTTCTATTTAAAAAAGAAAAGATAGTAAAAAAAAGCTTTTGATTGACACATGTATTTCTAGTACTAGTAGAAGATTCAATTAAAACGACATTTTGACTGAATATTTTTTTTGCCCACACTTTTTTACCTTTTAGATTGATATTACAATTTTGATTTGTGTAATTTAACTAAAAGTGATGTCAAATAAGTGACGTTTCAATTAGAGTGACGTTTTTGTTATCTGACGAATATCTAATTTTTTCTTTTTCTTCTCTTAAAAAAAATTTTTTTTCGAAAAATATACCTTATTAAAAAAATATAGTTTCCATTGATAATAACATCTTTTACAAAATAAAATGATTCTCGAAAACAAAATTTTAAGCAACTCTTACACTTCTTTTGAAAATCATAATATCTCACCTGGTAAGAGAAAAAAATGATACATATACATATATTTTTATAATTATAAATTTCACATGGTCTTTCTTATTATTATTACTATTGTTATTATTATTATTTAATCCTTTTATTTTTTAGAAGAAATTTTTAAAAGTTTTACAAGAGGTGATGATGCTAACAGCGATATTGAGATGACGAATAACATATATTACCAAAAACAAACTTCAACATCAAAACCGCTTTCATTGCCAATTTATTTCCGCGTCGCTTATATTAACGGTGATGATGATGATTGTGATGGTGAAAAATCAACGATGACAATATCCTGTAAATTTGAAATCTTGAATAAAATATGTAAAAGTATTTCTGATCACGGTCATAATTATAGACCTAACCAAACTGCTTTCAGTGAAAGAAAAAGCTTTAAATTGAAATCTACTAAATATGGAGCAAATTATAGTCATTTTATTTATGAATATGTTTTAATTGATGATAGTGGATCAACAATTTATGAAATAGATCTTACTGATAAATCGTTGAATGATGCTAAAGATTGCTTGTTAAAGAATTATTTAAAAGTTGACATTACTACTTCCAACAAATATGGTGACGGCGATGATGACGGCGGAGATATTAAAAACAACGACAATAATGTTAAAAAAAACATCAATAACAATAATCATCAAAAAAACAACGACAACGTCCAAAATTGGATTGACTTGTGCGTGATCTTAATATCACCAAACTCACCACGACTTTCAAATTTACTTGTCGAAACAATGAAAGAACTACAAAATCATATAAATTTATTTCCAGTAATCATTGGTCTTTGTGATCAAGAGCCAAGCGATAATAATAATTACAACAAAAGATCAGCAATACAACTTTTCCGAATTTTAGAAAACTATCAAATCAATTGTTTTAATTGGCAAGCTAGCAAAAGAAATCAAATAATAACAGCCAACGAATTTTCATTTTTTGATCCTAACCTTGTTTACAATGATGTTCTAATATTGAAAAATCATGCATTCAAATTCAAAATGAATCACGAATTTAGGAACGTAATAACAAATAATGATCACAGTGATGATGACGATGATGACGACGATGACGACGACGATGATGACGATGATGGCGATAATTATTACGACGACGATGACGATGATTATGACGACGATGACGATGATTATGACGACGATGTTAGTGAAAATAATGATGAAAATAGTGAGTGTAGAGATGGTTATAAATGGGCGAAGAAGACACGAGAAGTCATTTCGATCATAGTAATAATTATTCTTTTCTTCTTGGATCTTACGACAAGCTTGACTAAATATGACTTACTTTTAATTAATAAAAATAGCCATAGTGATTACAATCCTAGTAATATCAGTAATGATATTAATAATAATAATAATAATATGTTAAGAATTAAACTTGAAGAAACCTTTAACAATAGCAATAACAGTAATAGTAACAGTGATAGCGACGTCGGGAATAATTTAGGTTATGTTAATCTTGACATAAAATTTTTAAAGTATAAAGGATCAACTCAATATATTGATCTTTGGCAAATATCCGAAACTGATTTTTTGTTTAATCTTAATGAATCACCATTAACAAAAAAGATTAAAAACAATGAATTTCAAGTTATTCTCTATAATTACAATGATCAGCAAGCAAGGAAACAAGTTGCCATGGCTGATGAAAATTTATTTTTATTCCGTATTGATTACGATGATTTTAATGATCGCAATGATGAAAAACAACCGAAACAAATACGAGTATCAGCAGATATTGTAGATAGAAAAGGAAATATTCTGAAAGGTTTCAATTTGTTATTGACAAAAGATGAAATTATTTACTTGGATGTTATTGATGGAGTTAATGGCGACGATGATAAGAAAATGGTTGCGGAAGAGAAAAATAATATTAATATTTATAGCTATAAAGGTGGTGGCGTTTCTATTAGTAAAAATCAATACTATTATTATTATTTTAATAATATTTTAGATCAAGTTTTCGATAAAATTCCTCCTATGCTGGAAGATTTTAAAGATTTTATCGATCAAACGATCATACCGCTATTAAGCAATTCTCAAGAGACGTTTGTATATATAACAAAAAAAATTGATTTATGGATGTCTTTTTTTGTTGATTAATAATAATATAAATAATAATCTTTGTACATATTTTTTTACTGTGTTGTTATTTTTTTATAAATAAAATAATTTTTTTTAATACTTTACAATTTAATTATTTTCACAAGGTTTGTTTAATATAATATTTAAGAATGTTCCAAGTCTAAGGCCACCTTTAGCAAGTTGTTGATCAATAACTTGCACTGCATCTTGATAATATCTTCCACCTAAATCTACTTTTGGATTATCATCAATAGCTGCCCAAACCTAATTAATTAAAAAAATTTACAAGTTTGTCTTTACGCGTGTAATATATGTGTAAATAAACAGATAAATAGAGATATAAACTTACCAAAGGACAATTAATTCCATTGGTATCAATTGCCCAAGTAAGTGGACATTTTGTAGTAGCTTTAGCACGTTTTCTTAAATTAAGACTAAGACCTTTTAGTTGTGTCTCTTTACATGAAATCCAATTTTGTGACACTTTTGCGAAAGCTCCGTTAGTAATTTCATTAGTTAAGTGATTTGCGTATGTTTCAAAATTATCGTTGTAGTCTTTTAATCTTTTTTTAACCTAAAATTTTCAATCAATCAATAAGTCAATTAATGCGTTTCTTTCCTAAAGAATCAAAAAAATTATTAAAGATTTTTTTTTTTTTACAATATCTCTATCCCAGATTGCGTGAAGACTTTTTTAAAAAATATAAAATTAATTAAATTAGAATGTGATGATAATGGATATTAATATAGTGTAGTTTAACTTTTTACTTTGTAGGACGACCATCAAATGTCACTTTAATATCATTTCCACCTCTAGCACGTCCGCAAACATGAAGTGCTAAAAAACACAATTAATTAATTAACTAATTAATTAATTATTAAAGACATTAAAAATAAAAATAAAATTATTACGTTGTGTAATATCACCAAAGAAATGTGATAAAAATCTAAGAGCAATATCTCTGGTATTGATGTCACGGCCATTTTCACAATCCAATTGATCTGTATAATTGGCAATTGCTAATCGTGTAATAATATTATATTATAAACCGTTTAATAATAATTAAGGAAAAAAATAAAACAAAATATAATTTTTAGAGGAAAGGGGAAAACCTACCACCAACTATACAAGCACCTCCAGCACAATCGTTCGCCTAAAAAATTGTTATAACGAATTGATTATTGAGGGGAAAAAATAACAACAAATAATAAAAATACAAAGCACAAACAAATAAACGCGCAAAAAAAATTTTTGGTTTTTTTTTAATTACCTCATCGACAGAACAAACTCTGCCGGGATTATCATGCGTAGTCATATAATGTAAAGGAAAACTCCAATTGGCGTATGGAGATTCTGGTATTTGTTTAATCATATCAGCCCAAAGGGCAGCGAGAGGTAATTTTCCATCAAAAAACGGATCTTGAAACAAGCTGGCAACTCTTTTAGCTATTTCCGGGTTCAAAATATTTTGAGCAATTTTACCAACAATCTTGTGACCATCTTCACCCCAAGCATTTACCATTTGAATGGTGGTAAAATTGGTGATAATAATAAATAGAAAAATCAAAAAAATCGATGAATTTTTCATTTTGAAAAAAAAAAACAGGTTATAACAATAATTTTATGATAAAAATAAAAGGATTGAGAAAAATCAGATTATTTATCCTTGAAACCGTATTTGCGACCTAATAATAGAATATTTGTTTGTAACATGCGATTTTTACACAATTGAACAAATGGTTTTTAAGGTTATGTCACTATCCTGATAAAGAAATTACATGGTGATTATTGCGGAAAATAATTGCGCAAACAATCATTTTATATTAACGTTAACGTTAATAATGACCTTATGAATATGTTAAAGCAAATGAAGAAAACGTAATGAGCACTAAGAACATGGAGAGGCTGATTTAAGCGAATATTTGTTGCAATAGTAATAATAGAGATTGCTATCATGAAAAGAAAATTATCTATTCAAACGAAGACTAAATTGTATGAATAAGAAATGCGAGGAAAAAGTTTATAATAAAAAAATATTCCAACTTAAACTGCTAGTTATGTGGAATAATAATAATGAGATAGGTTTTGGTAAGGTCACTACTACTGTATTCTACAAGTTGTTTCTTTGAAAAAAAAGTGATTTTTTTTTTGCTTTCAGTTTATCACGTTTACACAAAAAATGTGCTACGGTTTAACAATAAACAAACAAAAAAAACAAGTATATATGTGTCGTACGAACATCAATTCAAATCTTATTGTAATTTCCTGATTAGAGAGTTTTTAGGATATTTAGGATAATGATAAAAATGGTAAAATGATAATAGTTGTACGCCCGATATTAATAGAGGGAAAAATTAATTATAAAAAAAATGATCGGGACAAAAGTAAAGTTCGTTATAGAGAGTGAGCTGTATGTAACAAACGATAAATCAAAAATTCCAACTTGGATACAAAAATGAAAGAATAACTATTTGTTTTTAACCAATAATCAACCCATTCATTACTATTACTAATTAATTGGTCAGAAAATATTCCCATGTCAAGTTTCTCAAAAAACAATTCATCTTAATTCTTCAAAAGTTTTTCAATTTATTTTGAGTGAATGAGCGAGGAACAAGTGTATTTTATCGTTTCATCAAATATCATTTACAACTCATTCTATTTGCAATGGAATAAATGAATTATTGTTAATTAGAATATTGTATATATGAATAAAAAAATGCCTTTTTTGATTGGTTTCCATCACAAATATCAGTAATGTCTTATCTGATAACTTAACATATGAAGAGTATTAAACTAATACTCCAATATTAATCAATCAGCATATTATGTATACTGTATATTATAAATTATTACTTTGAAATATGTTTCCCGTGATCATTCTTTCCAACATTAAATAATTAAAAATATCACAAGAAACATTGCATGCTTTTGATGACGGTTGTGATTATTCGTTGAGATTTTCTTCCGTTGTTTTTCCTCTAATTATCGCCTGAGATTTTGAGATGTTATCCATATTTATTATTATTATATTACACGCTTGTTTGGTTTAAGAAAAAGAAAAAATTCACACATAATATAATAATAAAAATATGAAAATTATTATACAAAAAAGGTTTGTAAATACAGGGCCGTGGCCTTAAATTTCTAATTACCGAAAAAGAGGAATTTTTGTTTATTTAATGTTATTTGAATATGCATTTTTGTATAGTAGCAATACCGTTTACAAAACCCCATCATTATTTATTGCAATTGATTTCTGCGAATATTAGCGACCTTTAATTTGGCTATTATCGATTCTTCATTTTTTAAAACCCGTCAATTTTCGTCATATTAATAAATGTCCGCTTTGAGATCCGAATTTTTCAAATAAATTGGTTGGGTTCATTTATTTTAGTTATTAGGTTGAATGTTCCGTAAAGATAGGTACTATATACTACTACCTTTACCAGAGATGTCTTCTTCTGCCATGCTTCTTCTCTTTACTTAATATCTGGTTGACATCGAACTATTGTATATTCGTTGTTCCATAAAAACAGGCACATACACTGTCAATGCCAAATGATGTTCTAAGAAATAATATTTCTTCAAGACAAGAGACCTAAATGGTTAATTTAATACACTAAATATTTTCTTGAGGAAGCAACTAGCGCATACTCAATAAATGGTGATAATAAGGAAAAATCAAAACATTTATTTTCTAAATTATTAGTTTTAAAGCGGAGTTAAGTTTGTTGATTAATTATAATGAAAGAAGAAATTATTTGTTCCCCCAATAGAATGATGATAATTCACATGGATAAGATTTTTCAAATATTTGAATGATATCCTAAAAAGTATAAAACTCAAGAACTTGTGATTTAGTTTTAAAAATCTTTCTATTAAATGAAGGTTCAAAGGTAAAGCAACAAACCAATAGAGCCCTTTTTCCAAAAAAATTATTGGATCATAATTTCTATCGAATACTCTTTCATTGTGTAATTAATTGATTTTTAAATTATGTTTGGAATTATAATTAATTATCTTTGGCGAAGAATTTTTTTTTTTTTGACAAAAGACCAAGTTTAAAATTCTATATTTAATATTTATTACTTGTTTGGCGTACAATTAGGACCAGCCTTGGCTCGCCTTTAATATTGGGAATAAAAATAGGGTCTGTGTGATCCGGACTCTTGTTAAAAGAACCCAATTCGAAAATATATTATCATTCGAACGTGTAATTTGTATTATGTTGCACAATATATAATATCTTGAAAAAAAATTAACGACAATAGATGATAAAAATAATGTCCTCTAAATCTCCATTTACAATTTCAACCAATAAAGAAAAATCAATGGTAGATAATTTAAAAGAAATTTTAATAGAATATGAAGCCACCATAAAACAATTTTTTGCATCTATTGCGTCGTCAACTGCTGAAGGAAAATCGCAGACTGAACATACGCCGGTAAAATTAATGAAAAATATTGTTGAATTAGATAAAAAGATGCAAAAAAGTCTTGATCAAAGTAAGGTGTGGTGATTGTATGTATATGTGTGTGTGTATATTATTGTTATTGTTATTATTATTTCTAGTGACAAAAAATAACTATTAAAAAAATAAAAGTTGAAGAACATCAGAAAGTTCATAATGAAATATTGCAAGTAGAAAATGAACTTGAATTAGAGAATAGTGCAATATTGGAATTGGTAAATGCTTTGAAAGAAGGAAAAAAAGAATTTGAGTCGAGTTTAGAAAATGCTGATACAACAATTCAAGCAATTAATTTTGCCAATAAATGTATGTATTATTACAGGAATAACATTACTACTACTATTAGGAAAAATTAATTAATATATTTAATTTACTTTATTAGCACCAGTTACAGCAGATGAAATCTTAAAATATGCAGCCAAACTTAGTAAATATACATCAGCACCATCAAGTTTTAATAACCAAAATGCTAATATTCCACTTCAGCCCCCATATCCTGATGAAACTCTTATGCGTGCTGGATTATTATTTAGACAATATGATGATGGTGAAAGTAAAGATTTTGGAATTATTTCTTTTTTTTTGAAAAAGCTTTCATTATTAAAATATAAATTAAAATAATATATATATATATATATAGAAGATTTTATGAATGTAACAGATATTCATCAGAATCAACTTGAAGTCGAAGAATTTGATTCAATGGATGTTCATAAAAACATCAATAATAGTAATAATAACCCAATGATTGTCAACGAAACAACAGCATCATCATATTTACAAACTAATCAAATTGAACAACAATATAATTTGGATCTAAATCCTGATCTTGAATAATAAAACATCTAGATGTGTGTGTGTGTGTGTATTTGTGTGTGTGTGAAGAGGGAGCATGTGTATATATTTATCTGTGTATGAATGTTGCTTTGTATATTTTTTTTTGGTCAGCAATAATAATAAATTTTTTTTTTTGAAAATTCATTCATCAATTCATTTATTATTCACTACTAATATATTATTTTTTATCACATCAAATTAAATATAGAATAATATTATTCCTTAAAATAAAAACAAAACATCTATCAAAAATAACTCTTTTTTATTTATTAATTTAATCAATGCTTTAAAAAAATTCTTTTCAAAGGTTGATTAACAATAATAACTAAAAAAAAACAAATAAAAAAACAATGTTAATTTCTTTCTATACATTTGTATTTAATATCTACATATATATATGATGTGATTGATCAATCATAATGCCTTGTTATCAACAACATCAACATTCGTAGACGTGGTAGTTGTGGCAGTTGGATTGTCAGGTTCAGTTGTTTGTTCAGTTAAATATTTTTGTTTGTAAAACTTTTCCCGTTTAAAAAGTAAAATATGTGGTTCAGGTGCTAATAATATATGATGATAACATATTATTAATATTATATTTTATGATATGCTATTATTGCTACCATTAATATTTGATTGGTATTATTACCATGAATCAAATAATGTTCCCATCCTTTTGATTGTTTTATACCAAGACTTCGCCATTCATCATCTGTCAAGAGCCTATTATGTGGCATATATTGAGCAATTTGTCTAGGTAAAGTAACATGTCTATATTTATAACATGATATATTTATTAGTGAAAAGTCATTTTATGATCTTTTAAAATTACATAATAATAATAAATATTATTATTATTATGATTAGCATTATAATCTAAATAATGGAAATAAAAATAAAAATATACCTGTATTCAGAATATTCATCTAAAAAAAATTTTTTTTTAATAAATATAAAATTGATGCAACATATATATACACATACACACATAAATACACGTAAATATTAATGAACAAACCATAATATGTGTGAGAATAGCTGATGTTATCTTCATACTGTTCAATTGTGTATTTTCTTAACTCTTCATATGTAGTAAATTGATGTTGAATTTGTTTATCAGGTTGACTCCTGATAATGTCATAATAATAAAAATTTGGTTGATTGTTTTTTACAAACAATTTAGTTTTTGATTATCATAATATTTTAATAGTAACAGTAAAAACAATAGTAGTAATAAATAATAATAGAATAATAAGCATAGCAATAGTAGATTTGTTAAGGCTAACTAACCAATCTCTTTGTTGTGGTTGTTGCTGTTGTTGTGGTTGCTGAGGGTTTTCGACTTGCATGACAACAAGAATGACTAAATATTTTGAGATCACAGACAAAAAAAATATAGTGCGCGCGGTCTAAAGACCTTCTAAAATTTTAAAATATAGAAGCTACTTTCTGTCTCACCTTTTAAAAAATAGTTCTGTTAGTTTTAGTTGATAGAATAGGTTTCTCGTAACTTTAATATGACAACAGATTTTCTCAAAATTGTTTATTGTAAAATTTGTAGAATTCTATATATTAATATATACTATTCTTTTTTTAGTAGATGTATGTGTTTTTGAGGAATTTGGCCTCGAGTATCATTACTAAATTTAGAATAGTTACGAAAATCATATTTAAATTTGGAGGTATCAAATCAGTTTAACTGTTATATCAACATTAATAACAAATTTATATAGGGAACTATCTACGTTTGAATGTCAGGTGCTAAATCTTAATACCTTTACTGGGTCTGATTTAGTGGGTAATGGTGAAAGGTTGGTTTCATGGTGAACTTATTAGTTTACTAGGGGGCAGTCATTTTCTTTTTTGTGTAACTCATGTATATAGGGAAACACAGTATGTTTTCATTTAAAATCATGTTTTAATGTTCAACTCAGTCAATTAATCTATGGGAGCAAGGCTTTCTCTGCAGAAGTGTGCGAGGGAACAAGGATGGATATTTTTTTTAAATACTTGTAACAAACAATTATCGTGCAACGGCCCACTATGATTTGATCGTGTAACCTGACCCAATATTCTTCACGGTTATGACATATTAATATGGAAAAATTATGAGGACAGAAGTTACAAAATGATATAATTCAATTAAATTTACATTTGTTAATAAAAATTTATTATATATAGAAAGATTATCTAAAAATCTATTTAAATTACATGATTAATGAACATCTAGTAAAATTAGGAGATTACAACATGAAAAAAAAAAAAAATAAATGATAATATTAACATAGAACTCAGTGAGATTACAAAATTTTTCTTCTTTTCTTTAGTGGTACATTGTTCGGCCATATAATCATCATTTAAAACAAAATTTTCATATTTATATAATTTTTAACATGTAAACAAATAATCAATTAAATATTGACAAAAAAAAAAAATTTAATATTGAATATATTAATTAAATTCATTTAATATAATCTTTGATACCTAGTACTAATAGTAAATAGTTTTTTTTTTTATTATCTCTTCATTTAATTTTGAGATTGTCTTGTGTCTTTCTTATTTAATTCATACTATCTTAAAAATTCTTCACAATAAACAAAAGCTTTGAATTTAAAGATTATTATCATCTATAATAATCATTAATTTATTTATTAAATAATAATTAAGAGTAATATTATGTTTTCATATATTGTCTAAATCATTATTAATATAACAAAAGTTAATGCAAAAAATTTTTTTTGAAGAGTTCTTATAATAATAAATAACTTATAAAACCGATTTTTGCTTTTAATTTCTTCCTTCCCCAAGAAAGCCATACAAAACATATATTTTCTAAAAGCTCTCGATGTACTCTGTCTTATCATCTCAATAGAGCTAATTTCCGAAAAGAATTAAGCTTCCGGAGTCAAAAACCATAGGTTTCTTTGAGAGGCTATTACTCCATAACTGGAAGAGCTAAAGACGCATAAAGCTCGCACTTTAAAGGTCAAAAGTAAGTGATTGTTTTTACTTAGAGGCACGAAAATTGTTTAGTAATGAGTTACGTTCAATTCATTCATCAAAGTCCGTTGTACAGAAAACGTGTCATGTCGATCATATATTAAATGTCGTCTGACTGATATAGTAAAATCAGTAAACGTGAAATCTTGTCTGACTGATAATAAATAAGATTTTGATTATTCCAATTGTTTAATTTTTGAGGAATATATAATTGGAACAAATTTAAAAATTATTACTTTTTATTATGTAAAATAAAACAAAATACGAGACTGATAAGCCTGATTTGCGTCAAACAAAATCCGAAAAACATTTTTCAATTGTTACACCAAAATTATTATGTCAAAATCCGAAAAAACGTTTTTTCAATTGTTTACATAGCTGCACAACCAAAATTATCACTTATTATTATTATTATTATTGGGTAAAATATGTCAAAAAGGGTTTTAAATTGTTATGTACTGTCCTACAACTGCACAACTAAAGTTATTTGAATATTATTATTACGATGATGGTTGTGGTTGTGGTTGTGATGGTGATGGTGATGATTGTAGGAAATAATATTTTGACCTCATACAACTTTAATCTCTGCGTTCCGTAAGTTTCTAATAATAATTATCAAGTTGCACAATGATCTTTAAGCCAGTAAAATTTAATTTCTGTGTGAAATCAAATGTCCATTATGTTGCCTGTGGGTTGGGGAGGTAAGGGGAGGAAAAAGAAAATTAAGCCTTTAAATGACTTCATAACAGTTTAAAAACAAAATATTAATATTTCAATTAGAAACAAAATTTCAAATTTTGCAAACTTTATTATGTTGTGAAAAAATCCTCATTAAATCAATTTTGGGAATATCTCAACGATCTTAGGTTCATTTTGAAGCTACAATTCTATCATCCATTATATTAAAAAATCGCATATTGTTGTTACGAAGGTTTTGATGTTTGTTGATTTTAAAATATCAACCAATTTACACTTATAATTGATAAATTAATATTTTCAATTCTGCCAATTCTTGGGATAAGTTGATGATCTTAGACTCATTTGAAAGCTAAAGTTCTATCATTTATCATACCAAAAAATCGCACATTATATAAATGCGGATTTTTTTGGTGATCAATAGATGATCATCACATTTTAAAACCATTCATTGGTCTTTTCATTAAAAACCAATGCAAAATCATGTTTTCTTGCCATAAAAAAAAAAAAAATGCTCGGAAGGTTGGTCATTTGAATGTCAATTTTAAATGACACAGTCATTTGCTGAACCAATCATATTGTTTAATTTTAAATTCAAATTTTAACATTTAATCAAATGAATTTACAAAATCAGGTATTCTAAATTATCATTAAAAATACTACACAGACTTTATTAGGCAATTGGATCATCAGGATGCATATTAGGGTCACGTGCTTTATAAAAAAAGTTTCTCTGAAGTTTATTTTTCTTTATTTATAATAACCAGTTGGTTAATTTATTATTTCAAATATTATTATAATTTTAATTTAGGGATAAAATAAGCAAGATGAAAGATGAAAAGTTAAAAAAATTAATTCATATCCAGTTGTACCTCCATATTAGATATAATTACTATTTTATTTATAATTATCAAACAGAATCTATTTTTTTAAACAATAAACAATATCTTTTAAATTATGGCTAAAATTTATGATTAATAATTTTTTTTTGATACAGATAATGTTATATGGGTCTGGGACACTTTACTGACACCCACTTTACCAACAAGACACTTTACTGACAACACACGGGGTTACATTTAATCTCTACACAATCAAACAAACTAACAAATGCTAAAATATCACATTGTGTGTTGTTGGTAAAATGTCTTGTTGGTAAAGTGGGTGTTGGTAAAGTGTCCAGGTCTGGTTATATGGTAACAAGAAGTTACTATTAAAGTGTTAAAGTGTTAAAGTGTGAGTTTGTTGGTAAGCTGTTTGAAAATGGCATCTGCAATGGAACAATAGGTGTGATCACCAAAGTT